TGTCTAATATTTCAATTTGTTTGATGATCTGAAACATTTCAGTTTGACAAACATGCAAAAAAATAAGAAATCAGGAAGGGGGCAAACACATTTTCACACCACTGTATATCACTCTAACTCGCTACTGGCAACCCACTGAAGCTCAACAGGAGTGAGCCTGGTCAGTACCTGGAAGTGAGTCCTCCTGGGAAAGCTGCTGGAAAAGGTGTCAGTGGGGCCAGTAGGAGGCACTCACCCTGTGGTCTGTGTGGGTCCTAATGCCCCAGTGTACTGATGGGGACACTATACCATCAGAAGCCACCATCCTTCAGCTGAGACATAAAACTGAGGTCCTGACTGTCCGTGCTCATTAAAAATCCCAGGGCATTTCACCCAAAAAGTAGGGGTATTACCCTGGTGTCCTGGCGAAATTTCCACCAGCCTTTACCTGTGTAACTGATGTGTCGTGAGAGGACTGGTGCACTTCTAGGTGGGGCTACGCATTGGTGGTAATGGAGAGGAGTCAATGGATAATAATAATAATAATAATAATAATAATAACAACAACTCATTTCGCATTTTCAAGGCATGTTTTGGATTGTGGTCAGCTCTTTTCTTAACAATGGCCCTTCCTTTTCTGAATGCCTACTTGGCTGTGTGCTTTGTGGCTATAGTCCGTGTGCTATCAGGACCACAGTCTGCCTGAATTCAGAGTCTTTTTTTCACAGTGACGATAAGCTTATCACATTTTGGAGTTTTGGAAATATAATAACCTTACTTGAGTCTCATCTCCAGAACAAATTATTACCGACAGGCATATCCATGTATATGTTCCCTTCTAATTAAAAAAGTACTTTTGCAAATTAGGCACTTCATTTTTTGCACATTGTTATAGTTAACTATTCGTTGGCACTTGAAGACAAGTTACGTACCACTTAAAATAGAGTTGAAATCACAGCCATTACTACAAGCCCAAGCCTAGAGTGGGTTTTTTAGATATTCTGTTCAAAATGGATGGTGCAGTTAAATGCTCCACAAATGGATGATGAGAAATGACTCAAAGTGAGTCTTGAACAATCGGACATCATATCAAACTGCCTATTAAAATCTGTAACCGGAGAAAACTCATTTTTCATAAGGCATCTCAGGAGGCTGTCAAGTGGATAGCCAAACTAGGCATGTCATTATAAGCCTTTCCTGTTAAATGATAGAAAGAACAGATATCTAGAGGTTTAATGCAGATGTTTTAAAGTATTTAAAAGGGTTTGCAGTATAACAGACAGAACTACTGTACATCATTCACTTAGATTCTTCCCTAGTTATGTGAGGTGTTTTGTTCCTAGCAGTGGCTGTTTTTTTCCTTTTCAAGATCTGATTTGGGAGAAGAAGAGTAAAACATAAAGCTAACATCCCCTTATCATACAGTATGTTAATGTATGTACTCTTTCTGAGTTCCTCTATTCTCAAGAATCACCCTGCAACATTGACTAGAATTAGTGTTTTCTCTTCAGGTTATAGTTATCTTTAGTCTTCCTCAATAGGAAGACTTTGTTGAGTTGTATCTTCATTGTCTTTGACAAACAGGTTTTTTTGTATTTTAAACCCAAGCTTCTTGAAGAGCAAGGAAGTGATGACAGAACTCTGAACTCTCCTTTTTGTTCCCCGCCGTGGAGTCACTAAGTTCTTCAGGCTACGATGCTAATGAGCAAGTGGTTCACAAGGGAGTGATTACCCAACAGATAGAAGTCATTTGATGTGGTTTCGGATCCCTGTTGTGTTTCCAGAATGTGATATGCAGGCACACTGGTGACCCTTCTCCTCCTATCCTGCTCTTGCACAGCTCTCTAGGTTATCAGGTGTAACGGAGACCTGCTTAATCTTTAACAGTGAAATCTGGGATCAATAAAATCCTTGACTGTATTGATCTTGTTGGAACCTTGGTTGCTATAACAAAATGGAATACCTGTTCCCAGACTTTATTTTTTCATCAATAACATGATCTCACTTGAGATAGTGAGAGTAAAGCTCTGAATACATGGTCATCTAGGTGTTCAAGTATGTGTGATCTGGCAATGAAGGAGTCATGAAAGAAGCAGTTAGACACACTGCCCTTAGTCTCACTCAGAGTATTAAGACAATAAATCTAGCTGTGTGTGAGAGATCAAAAGTCCTGCTCTAGCAAATGAGAACCCATTCCTGGAGCAGAATATTGTGTTTTATCCCCAACACTAAAACAGAGCACCTAAAAATCCGCCAGTATTTTTTAAATAATTACTATGAAGTATATTAGCAGAAAATCTGTGCTGCACAGTGGGTACTGCTAGATTCTTTAAGAAGCCTGTTGGTCTTCATAAAGGATGTTTGACTTCTTTTACTCATTAGCTTCCTCAGCTGGACTCACTTGGTCAGTGAAAGCAGTCCTGTTCTAAAAAATTAGACTAAAAAGTGAGGAGAAAACTGGAACACAGTTTTCTCCTTGCTGACATTTTCTCCCTTGATTTGTGTCTGACTGCTTATTAAAACCACATGAGAGCAGGCAGCAGTCTTTCCATTGTGAAACAGCCTGGCTTGTTTCTGTCATATTAATGACCAGAGAGACGTACTGTAACAGGAGCAATAAAGTTCACGGAGGCTATGGTTGATGAGGATCCCCCTCGGTCTATTGGAGCTGGTAGACAATGATGTGGGAACAAAGACAGCGTCTCGCATTGGCTGTTTGTTATTCTTTTGTCTTTCTCTCAAACTCCCTTACAAAGGCCAGCAGCAGTCTTACCTGATGGAGTTTGTTAACACAGTGCTTTAGCAGTTTCAAAGAACAAAATGCGCACTCTCCTTATTTTTTACGATGAAAGCTGTTGCTGTAGAACTGCTATCTTGGGGTCAGGCGAGCAACATACAGTTTTCCTATGATGTGTTCAGAATGCTCAGTCCTACAGTTTTTATATAACATAAAAATAAAGGTTATGTTCTGGTCTGTTTCTCTTTGATATTGAAGTAGACGGAGAATAGCTTGTTATATCCCAGATTGAATTTGATGACTATGGAGGAAAACAGACCACATAATTCTCTCCAAGCTCCGGCAGTTTCCGGACTACAGATGTGCAGTGTGCAGGCTCTTTGTTCGTTCAGCTGTGCTGTGTTCATGGCATTGGCCCAGATCCTAATTTAATAAAAGGCTGCTCCCTCTCAGCTCTTGGGTCCTGGGTTTATTTCCAGCCTTGTGTGTGGAGTTTGCACACTCTCTCTATGTTCTTGTGGGTTGTTGCATCTAGGAAAGGTTCTGGTTTAGTGCGCGTCTGAATGGGAATAAGCAATTTACTGTGGCTGGGTGAAATCCGGTAATTTAATCTGTGACCACATGTCAGCCATCACTTGAGTGAAACAACCCCCTAGTCGGCCAGAGACAAAAGCCAATTAAGGATTATTAGTAAATATTAGCGAAGACCATATGGCCGTGCTGGGAGGTAACAATAGTGTGTGCAGCACAAACTTGTTGTGACAGCACCATTAGTGTGATGCAGATTAAGTGCCAGCAATTATATGAATTCTTTTTTTTTTGTATTTGATATTGACTTTACCACTGAAATTATGACTCATTGTTAAGGAATGGTAAAGAATGTTATGTTTTATATATTTAAAAACTCTAAATCCAAAGGTCATAGTGGTCTGCGTTTCCGTTACAGAGCTGATCTCTTTACTGTAATGTGGTCCTGTGCTGCCATCTGGTGGCACAGTGGTAAAACCACATCCCTGTCTTGACCTGGTCTGAAATAAAACGTGAACATAAAAATTACAGTAAAGACCAGGCCCTCTTGCTCAAAAAGAGGATGAAAGAGGTATTTTTTCCCCATATGATTTCTGTCAACAAATTTATTTATAGAATGACATTGCAATATGATTTGTTGGCTCTTGAATTTTACTATACAGTATCTATCTTGATACTACACATGTGTAGAGAAACATTTCCTGTTTTCTGTCCTAAATGAACACCCTTTTAATTTCCAGTTTTGACCCTGTGTCCTTGTTACATTACAGTGCCTGAAATAGCCTCCTGAAGCAAACTGCTCAATACCACTTGCAATTTTATACACTTGAATCCTCAGTCTCCTTTGTCATAGACTGAAGAGATTTAGCTCCTTTATCAATTCTCCCATCAGAAAGTTTCCAGGAACCAGAATTCATTCCTGTTGCTCTTCTTTATAATGACATTCTTTTTGTGCTACAGTGACTCAAATGGTCAGTCACTTGTTTTTCTTAGTATATTGTGAATCTGTAGTATAACTTCCCTTCATTTAAATTCTAGACATTTTTGCTATGTATCCAAGCCTTATGGTATCTTTTCTTTTTACCCCCACAGGTCTCTTAAAGGGGACATAAAAGAATTGACATAAAAAACAGAATCTGTTTCATACATTATTCTTGTAACTCAAAATCGCTCGTGTTACAGTTGGTTTATTGTAGGTTCTTACTATAAAGAATCGTTATTGCACAGGATTCAGAACCCAGATGAGAAAATAACCATTGTTTGCTGTGCCGAAACTAGTCCGCAACTCCTGCCCTTTACCTTGATAAGAGCTTCCCTGCCACCTAGTGCCTCTTTGTGTCATTGCAGCATTTTTCCCAAGACAACTGGCTAAAGCCATGAATGATCCTTTTCGTATTCTTTTGAAATGACTGAGAAACAAGTTTTTTAGATGGAAGTAATATATACTAACATATTATGATCATGTGTTCTCAAATCCGTACTGATGTTTAACTTTTTAGAGGAAAATGCATTTTGCTGCGATCAGAGGCCTGAAGGTAAAACCTCCTTTGTCTGAAATTTCCAGACTCTGTGAAGTTTCTGTGGAGGAAGCGTCTACTATTCCAGTGTTTCAGCTCAGTGTCTGGCATTGTGTAAAATAGCACTAGTGTGTTGTCTTCTTGCTTATAAATCGCCTTCAGGCCAGGGAAGGTGTGGCTTAGTTTTTATGTAAAGGTAAAAATATAAACTAATATCTTTCTCATCTTTTCTGTTTCAGAAGGAGCTGAGCCTTCCCAGAAGAGGCAGTTTGTAAGTACCCTTATTTCTAATTTTGACTTTTTTTGGGTTAAACAATCTGACAGAAAATGTTTTCCTCATATAATGAACCTACAGATGATTAAGAGGCCCTTAGATGTGGAGAGAGAGCAATTTTTTTTCATAGTGGGATACATTAATTCTGCCAGTTAAGTCTTTAAAAACTAAATTCTTCCTTTTTAAAAATCCATTTGATACCCAAATTAAATTATACAGTTATTCTATAGCATTATATACAGTAAATTAATGCTGTATAAGGAAATAAAGCTGGGTCGGTGGTATAGTTTTAATTCTTTTAAAGGTCTTTTAAACTTTAAGGTTTAAAGTTACACGTATGGTAGAATGTCTTGATAACAATTGTTTTGGTATATACAGTAGGTGCAGACATTAATTCATAAGGTTCAGCACTGTATCATTATTCAGCCATACATATCTGGCTCCATTTGACCATACCTAAAGCAGACAGAAATGGGATTATTCTGCATCATCACTGCCTGCTGACATTCTGCTGTACAGATGCAGAGTAAAGGGTTTAAGTGGAATTAATTGTAAGATGCATTATGGGGGGTTGAATCATTTGTACACATATAGGTCACTTGTGTGTCAGAAAGCAGACTATATGTCTTGCGAGATGAGACTTGTACACTAGTGAGTAAACATGATGCAGTACTTTACTTGAAAGGTTTGATCTTTAGGTTTAAATTAATACCCTGTATGCTAAGGTCCTGATTTTAGGAAGACAGGGATATACTACAGAATTTGACCAAGGCTGACTGGATTCAAGTTCGTTGCCCTTTTGAAAGACAGTAATGAATTAATAATCATTGCTTACACTTCTATAGCGCTTTTCTGGACACTCTACTCAAAGCACTTTACTCCGCTCCACCCCTCCACTATGATGCGACAGCAGCCATAGTGCACCCAAACGCTCACCACACATCAGCTATCAGTGGGGAGGAGAGCAGAGTAATGAAGCCAATTCATAAATGGGGATTATTAGGAGGCCATGATTGGTAAGGGCCAATGGAAATTTCTCTTTTCAAGAAACGTCCTGGGAACACAGAGAGTCAGGACCTCAGTTTTACATCTCATCCAAAGGACGGGGCTTTTTTACAGTATAGTGTCCCTGTCACTATACTGGGGCATTAGGACCCACACAGACCACAGGGTGAGCGCCTCCTGCTGGCCCCACTAACACCTCTTCCAGCAGCAACCTCAGTTTTTCCCAGGAGGTCTCTCATCCAGGTACTGACCAGACTCACACCTGCTTAGCTTCAGTGGGTTGCCGGTTGTGAGTTGCTGATATGGCTGCTGATATGGCTGATATGCTGATATGGCTGCTGGCCAAAACGTCTGCCCTAAGGAGGTATTGAACTCGGTTCTCCTAAATAGCCGTTCTATTGACAAACCCACTGTGCTCCCAGGCTGCTCAATTATATTCTATTGAGAAGAAGAGATTGTGTGCAGTCTGTGCCTGTGGCTCCTGCACTCTTGTCTTTGTAGGGTTCCAGCAGCAGCTTGGAACCTTGAGTTAGAAGACCTTAATGGTCATTCCTTTGCTCCTATTAGTGGTTGGGCTGCAACTGGGCTGTTACTCTGTGGTCAGTCTTTGACCCCTGTGGGGGAGCAGCCATTGCACATCCAGGAAACTCAATACCCTGCTTTTGCAAGGGAGATCCCTCAAAGTGAGTACTCCTTATTTTTAGAACACCTGATAACCACTGTAGTGGCTAAGAAATTCACAGACAGTGCAGTGTCTGAGGACAACTGCTGCCCTTTGATGGGGGGAGGAAATTGGTCAAAGGTCAGCCTGGGTGAAGGGTCACTGGTGAAGCAAATGGAGTGTTTATATTGTCCATATTATATTATATTGAAGAGGTGTGGGAAGAGCACATAGCATGAAAAATAGCTGAATGCAAGTAGCATATTCACAGATAATTCAAGGTAAGGGAATGTATCCGATTTTCATTTTCCTTTCAGACTTAAGAAGCTCAATGGTTGACACTGAACTGACATTGTATAACACACACAATAATGTCAGGGAACAGGCAATTTGAATGTGAATGTTGCAAGTAAGTAGATTGTAGTGGAATAATACAAGTATTTATATTTGAGTTGCAATAACTTCAAAAAAAATTCAAAAGAGTTGACTGTGTTTCCAAGGGTACGTGCTCATTATTTTTAAATAATATTAATAATAATAATAATAATTGCTTACACTTATATAGGGCTTTTCTGGACACCAATGTGCAGCATCCACCTGGATGATGCGACGGCAGCCATAGTGCGCCAGAATGCTCACCACACGTCAGCTATCAGTGGGGAGGAGAGCAGAGTAATGAAGCCAATTCATAGATGGCGATTATTAGGAGGCCATGATTGGTAAGGGCCTTGGGAAATCTGGCCAGGACGCCGGGGTTACACTCCTACTCTTTTCGAGAAACGCCCTGGGATTTTTAATGACCACAGAGAGTCAGGACCTCGGTTTTACGTCTCATCCGAAGGACGGCGCCTATTTACAGAATAGTGTCCCTGTCGCTATACTGGGGCATTAGAACCCACATAGACCACAGGGTGAGCGCCCCCTGCTGGCCCCACTAACCTCTTCCAGCAGCAGCCTTAGTTTTTCCCAGAGGGTCTCCCATCCAGGTACTGACCATGCTCACACCTGCTTAGCTACAGTGGGTTGCTGAAATACAGGTTCACTGATATATTGGCAGGTTGTTGGCCAGTCCCAAGTAAAGCTGTAGCCAATAACGTGCAGCGATAATTTTGCTGATCGTCACATTAAATTTTGTGGTGCCTTGACCGTGAGACATGCAAGTATTTGCTGTAGTATGCAGCATTCAATTGCCATCTGTTTGAAATATGTCTCTAAAGAGTTTGAGTTTTGGTTTATTTAATTTAAACTGTCTGAAAATAAGAGGACAGAACTGCTGCTGCCTTTTGGCAATACAGTCTTTCTAAAAGAAGCTCATATAAAGGGAACAACTTTACACACTCTGTCCCTTCAAAAACATGATGGTACATTAACAGGAGCAGTTCATCATGAGTGCAGAACGACAGGCTGCTCGCGCCCTTAATCTGAGCCATTGTCAGCGCTTGCTGTAATTAACGTGTCGCCCGATATAGACATGGGCTTGTGGGGAAGAACAGGGAACAGTGTTCCTCCTATTCCTGGAACAGAGGGGAATGACTGTGCCACAGTGCTCTGGCTGTGAGGCCTGGGCAAACCAAGCGACAGCTGCACCTCGGTGGGCGTCTGTGCTTTCTGTCCGCGCTGTGGGCTTGAAAAGGGCAGGGGGGCTTTACAGTCTGCCTTAGTGTCGGTGTCCCATGATTACACTCCGTCTCTTCTGCTGCTGTCTCTCAGAGCCAGAGAGCTAATGCACTTTTACCATGTAGCCTGTGCTGTCCGCACTGGATTTCCTTCCACGGTTATTGGGAGCAAATGGGTATTGGGGTGGGTAGTTGGAAGTTGTCTGCCTTGCACTACGGGGCAGTGGATCGTAGTTTGTGTTGTCAATCCTGTTTTTGGCATTGGTAAGCTCCAGACGCACTCTGTCACTCTTGGCAGACATATGCCAAGTGGGACTGTACTCCAGTTTGAGCGCTGTCTCCGAAAGGCAGGACCGACCATGGACTGCTGCCTTTGACTTCTGGAAGGACATAGAGCCAGCTTTGAGAGGGATTGGCTTGCTCCGCTTCCAATCTGTCAGTGCCATCCTCCCTGCTGCATCGGTTGTGCTGCTAACTCTGGTCGAACTTTCCTGCTGCAAGTCTCCAGGCTAGTCCAGGGTTCAAGTTGTGTCTGTGTTCTGTCGGGGTTCACTGTGGAATCTTGTTTGAATCATGAAAGATTGAAATCGGATATCCTGTCTGTTGTGCTTTTTTTTTAAAAGGACAAACACACTATACTTCTTAAGAGTAGTTATGAGTTTTTGCATCAGAGTGCGTATTGCTCCAGAAGTTCTGTTGACTGAGTCTAATGTAAATTAAGCCAGTTTTGTTTTACTGGTGGAAAGCAGTGTGCTGTTTTGTGTGTCTCAGGCATCACAGCTTAGAGTTTGAGCTATTGTGCCTGGTCTGCCCACTGTTGCCAAGTGCAGGAGGGGTGAGACTGGCACATGGGGGATCTGGGCTCCCTGCCACCATGGGGCATGCTAAGGAAGTGAGACTGGCCAGGGGCTGTCTGTAGTAAAGCAGGCATGCAGGGTCACTAGTGGCATACTGTACAGCGGTGTGAACAACATCATCCTGCTCACGCAGGAACAGGGATATAGGTACAATCTACCAGGTGTTCACTATACAGATATTTTTGGTTCTGGAATTTCCTATCTCTCTTTGGGACTCACACTGTTATTTATTCCAGTTATTTGTGTGTTTAAGCTAGGCTGAAATCCATCTTTTGCTTGTGATTCTGCCCTGGTGTTCAGTTGGGTCTGTGAGCTCTGTAGAGCTGTGAGCTTCGGTTGTGTTAGCTGGACTGCAGACTTGGATTCTTCAGGACAGATTCTGCTGGAGCTCTAAATCTGGACTCTGGAGATCTCGTCCCTTTCACTCCTGGCAGGAAAGGAAATACCTTGTGGAGGAGCCATGAAGAAGAGAAAGGAACGACCAGGTGCCCCTAGCCTGCGTATTCAGTAAGGATTGTTTACTCATTCATGAGTAAACTTCTGCTTTGTCATTCATTCCACTCTGGAGCTAGGCCTGCTTATAATGTCACTTCACGTACATTGTGAAGTATAGACAACAGCCACACATGGGACAGACTTCTAGGAGCTTGTGGTTTAAGACGTTCTTGTTTTGTTGTCAACATGTTTCATTATTTGTAAATTCATAGAACTCTGTGCCTAATCACTTTTTGAGGAAAAGCATAAATTGTTAATGCCAACCAAGGGGCTTGTCTAGGGTCTTATGGCTGAAGTTTATAAACATGACCATCACAGACATTCTTCTTAGCAAAGAGTTAATGACCAGGTTTGTGAAGGTTT